TACTACTGTACTAGTACTACTACTACCACCACCGACACCATCACCACCATCACTAGTACTACTGCTACGAAAGAAAGAAAGGACAAACAAACAAAAAACAAAAATAAAAACTCGCGAGCCGCGACGTCAGGATCCTGCCAGCAGGTCCTAAACCTGAAAGGACGAGGACAGAGAGGCGGGGCGCACCTTTCTTCTCAAGTTCCTTGCTTGCTTTATTACAGAACCTCTCCCTTTTATACTCTCCAGCTGCATGGGAGCGAGAGCTGCACGGGACCGAGAGTACCGCCCACACATTCCAGAGGGAAACAATAACAACCATTATGGGTTACATCTGCTAGGCAATAGATCAGACCACCAGCTGAACTAGCCCATTGCTATGGCGACGGCACGTCCACACTGCTGGGTGAATCACAGGTCAATATGGCTGCGCTCATGTCGTGTTTCTTTACAATGCTCTCCATAAAAAACAACTGTAATGAGTTAGAAATCCTGGGCTGGGAATGAGATTCTGAGTTTCTGGTCTGTTAGGTGATGAAGATTATGAGAGTACCATTTTATGTGCTGAGCAGGGAGTGAAAGATTACAAATTAGGCTACAAAATCCAGATCACAAGGCCGGATGTGGCTACCAAAGGTTTGATGGTGCCTGGATGCTCCCAGCAGTGGATTCTGAAGCCTCTTGGTCCATCACTGTGTCAGAAACATGAAATAGAAGCCTGTCGAAAGGGCTGAAAAATGAGTGTAGCTGTATCCCCTAGTAAAGAACAGCATGTAATACATTAGGGTTGCTCTGTCTCGTATGGCAGTTACTGGCCATATATGGCTATTCAAATTTAGATCTAATAATTAATTAAAATTTAAAATTCAGTTCCTCAATTAATCTGGCCTCATTTCAAGAGCTCAAGTGTCACAGGAGAATAGTGAGTATCGTACTGGGCAGCACAGAATAAAGTTTGCTCAGTAAGGTACAACGAGGCCAGTGCTTCCGAAGTTTCAGCTTCAATTGGCTACTTTAGAATGTTCTGTAGGGTTTGAAAAATACACACATTCCCTAAGCTCTACCTCCACACATTTAATTTAGTTTCAGTAGTTTTGAGAATTTCTAGTTCAATGAAAGCAGACATTTCTTTTTTCTCTAATGCTATTTAATCCTTGGATACTGTAAGCATTCAATTTTTATACTTAGTGGTGATGTGTCTATGTAGATAGTTTTCCAAATGGGCATGTACCAAAAAGACTGTAATACTAGGAGCATACTAGGAGTGTGTGTGTGTGTGTGTGTGTGTGTGTGTGTGTGTGTGTGTGTTACAGCCACAAAGTGAAAGGTAGTTTTAATAAAGATTTTTTACAGATGTGATGCTGACTCCATGTTTTTTTCTGGACTAACACAGTGCTAAGCACAAAGAAAGTAATCGTGAAGTTGTAAAGGGAAGCAAGCATCCCTTTCATTTCCAGAACTACTTACAACTGTACTAACAGGAACTTAATTAAAGCAAACCAACCTTTCTGTGCAGGGTTGGTACTTTCAGCAGTCCAGACCAAACAGAAACCCATTGCTGAACATCTTTATTTTAGATAAATTCATTTTAACATCAGTGAACCTATATCCCAATCCATGTAATAGGAAAGAGAGGTTCTCACCTGTGTCCCTATAGTAGTCAAAAAACAATAGGGTACAGCTGAAATCCAAACACAAAATTAGTAGATAACATGAGAGTTAATAATTGATGCTTAACAACATTAGGCTGGGTTTGAAAAGGGCTTTATTTAAAGAAGATAACCATCGCAGGACTTCTGTGATTCCACGTCTCTCTTTCTGATTTATTTAATACACTGCATATAATGGGGAAACCTTAAACATATTTCTATTTAGGTTAATCACAATTTTCTTTACACTCAAACTTTTCCTTAACAGTTTAAAGAATACTGTTAGACAAACACACTTTCTCCCTTCTCTGGATCCTACTGAACAAATTGAGAAAAGCGTTAAAAAAGTGCAAGTTTCACCCATAATCCCATGCTGTAGAGAGATCACTGCTAACATTTGATATATTTCCTCCTACTTTTTAATCTTATGTGTGCAGTTTTTCACTTTCTAAAGTGAAATACATTTTGAAATTTTGTCATATCACTTTATATTTTTTAAAAGCACAATGGCTTATCACTCCATCCTACGGAATTTCGCTCTACTGTTAGCCCTTTGGGTTGTGTGAAATTAAAAACAACATGGAAGTTGGCATCTTTACACAAATCCTCGCCCACGTGTCTGACGATTTCCTCAGGATCAGTTTCTGGAAGTAGAATTACCCGATCAGCTGTGTGTGAACGTCTGATGAGGCTCTTGACACATCTCCTCATGTTGCTCTAGAGAAAAAGCTGCCCCAATTCACATGCCCACCAGCAATGGAAAGGGATTGTTTTCCTCACATCCTGGCTACCACAGAGCACTGTAACTTAGAAAGTGCTGTTGTTTTTAACTAGATAGGCACAAAATGGTATGCTTTTTGTTTTAATTTCTTAGATTTATTAGAGACAAACATTTAAGTGCTATTAGCTACTGTATTTTCTTTTCTCTGAATTACTTATCCCTAGTTTCGCTTATTTTTCTACACAGGTCTAGGAATCTAAATATTTTTATATTAAGGATATTTATCCTTTTGAATTTTAACTGTGCTTTGTGGTTTAAGTCAATGGCTTACTTCTTCTGTCATGTCTCTGATGGCTTTTGTGCATGGAAGGCTCTTCTCAGCCCAAAGATAAAAGGTTTTCACCTGATACTGGAGGATTAAAGGAGAGAATTTAAGTAAATTACTCAGTAGTTAGCTATCCCTGCTCATGGTAATGTAAGTCTCTGGTAAATGGTAGCATTATGGATAATCCTGTAATAATATCTGCTTTGAAACTGAGGAATTTGAGGGTGCTGAAAAGTTACCTTATTGGTAGGTAGAAGAGGTATAGTTAAATCCATGCTTTCTTGTTCTATATTTTTTCTTCTCC